CGGGAAGCAAATGGCACCTTTGCCTTAAACCTTTTGAAAATACTGGGAGAAGACAGCTCAAAAAATGTATTTTTCTCACCCATGAGCATCTCCTCGGCCCTGGCCATGGTCTTCATGGGGGCAAAGGGAGACACTGCAAGCCAGATGATTCAGGTAACCAGCACCATTTCACTACAGATAAACACCATGGACTATCAGTTGAGCTGGTCCTCCACGTTCTCAGTCTCAAAAAATAATTCATCTGGAGGTACAAATGGGAATGAAATGACAGAGGGGTTTGGAGAGTTGAGAGGAAGGATGCACTCTATCTGTTAGGACCCTATCACTGACTCATTGGTGATTGCAGTGTGTGTGTGTGTGAGGGTTAGCTTGAGTAAAAACACCAAAGCGGTGACACCAGGGTCCCCTGTGATGGCCACTGTCTCCTCTCTGCCCCTAATGAATCTCAGCTTTTTCACAGGTAAGGGACACTGGAACAGTTTCAGCCTTGGCTGGAAGATCAGGGACATATCCATTAGGGCTCTTCTTGGACATAGAGCTTTAGCTGCAGAGGTGTATGAACTGCAGAGACAGGCTGTCCCGGCATAAGAGGGAAGACTGTCTTGGGCAGTGACTTTGCATTCTGGGTTAAGTTTTGGCAGCTTCTTTCCATTTTACAAGACATACAGTGTTTGTTGCTGTTTCAGCCTGCCTCCTGTTTGAAGAGAGTTAGGGTGTAGAGGCTTGCCTTCAATTTAAACTGACTCTGTTTTTTTGTTCTAAGCTATTACAGCTACTGATGGGCAGTTCATCTGTTTCCTATGGGAGCAGCTGAAGTCATTTGTGTAGCTTTTTTAGAGGCTTGGAAGATCTACAGAATTGTATCTGAGGTCTGGTGTCTATCTAGGTGTTCACTGTTGGCTGGGGTCTTGCATCTCTTTCCAGCAGCTTTATGTGATGGCAGTTACTCCAGGATTTTTATGTTGTCTCCTGGAGGATGGCTTGGATTTCCTTCCACCATGATGTCTGGGAACAAATGTGGCAGCTGCCAGGCCTTTTAAAGCCCAGGCTGGAACAGGGTCACTCTCCTCCATTCTCTTGGGCAGACAACACTGGAGCCATCCAGACCCAAGATCAGGGAAGAGACAGCATGGTCTGAGGTCAGAACTGGCTGCACTGGAGTCATGCCAGGTCTGCTTGGCAGCCATGCTTGAGGCCAGGGCACAGTCAGTGAGCGTGAAGACTGGGCTTGTGAAGGGCCATTTCTGCTCAGGGCTGACAGGGAACAGGGCAGGCTCCTAGAGAGGGAGCAGTCAAGGTACTTTCATCTTTAACTGGGTGGCTCTTTGAGTGGCAGCAAGGATCTATAAGATTTTGAGGATGAGTTGAGTGTTGACTCATTTCGTATAGTTTGGCTTGCTGAAGTTGTATTTG